AAGTCAAAACAACTAAGTGCTACAAAGAGCCTAGACCTCCGGCGCATCGACCGCAGCGGAAGTCCCTGGAACGGAGCCCGCATCAACTGTGGGTGGGGACGGCGCCTGTGGCCTCCGACCATCACCACCGCCGATCGCAGCGTCCACCGGAGCGCCAGCGGTGGCAGAGGCACCGCCCGCGGTCGCCGAGCGTGGAACTGATGGAGGCCTGCCCGCAAGACTCTTCTGCGTATCCTGTAGCAAAGGCTAAAATATCAGGGGCACAGGCAACGAAAGCCTTCGTAGCTTCGCAAAAAGCAAGGAGAAAAAAAACAGCAGCTATAAAGACTAGAAATACCTTCACCCTCTTTTCCTCCGCCAGTTTCCGAGCGGCAGGTCTCCCAAACGGAGCCCAAAAGTACCCAATGAAATTTCTCAAGGTTTTTGCAAACCAAGAGAAGTCTCACCAAGCTCCTCCGGACCCGGAAGCGCTCCCTCCGGAATACTTTCGGTATGCGTACACCCGCCGCGCACCAAAAGCTTGGCATAATTTGATACTCTCGCCAGTGCCCCGTTGTCCGTGCAACCATTGATCAGACCGAGGAGCTTCACAAGGTGACGCTTCAGCCAGGAGGCGAGGGCGTAGACACTGTCTTCATCTGGAGGAGTGGAGGTTTCGCCTCTGAACTCGGTGACGATGGCCCGGTAATGGCCAACGGTTGAAGCAAGGACCCCCTTGACTGAGTCCAGATGCCTCGTCGTCAAAGATAGCTGCTCCCCCACCAAAGCAGCAGATTCCTTCTCAGAGGCCAGCTCTCGCCGGAGACCCTCGGCCAACTCGTTCGCCCTACGGGACTGCTCGGCGGACAAAGCTTCCGCATCCCGGGCCTTGGCGAGATCGGCCCTCAAAGCCTCCTTTTCTTGTTCCTTCTCCGCCAGAGAAAGGCGGAGAGCTGCAAGGGAGTTGGACAAACCCCCTTTTTCACCTTCCAGGCGCTCGTTCTCCGCCTTGAGCGCTTCAATCGTAGTATCTCGGCCGGAGACCTCGCGAGTGCGGCGCTCTTCCATAACAACAGCCGTGTGATACCTCTGCATCCAGAAAGAAGAAGACCAAGGCGATCAGCAACAGAAACAAAACACAAGTCTAAAGGCAAACATACACCAAAAAAAGGCAAACCACCAAAGACGCACCAAGCTCTGGTGTTCTAGATGAACACGGAGAAGTTGGAAGAAATCCATGTCCCTCAGACGCTGTTTGAAGCGATCTGTTCAAAGAAGAACAAACAAACACAAAACAATAAGGTGAGAAAAGCAAATCTCACAATAAATACACCAACAGCCGGAGACCACCTTCGACGTCTCCAAGAACCCCAAGATAGCACTCTTCCCAACCTGAGATAGAAGTGTCGGAGGAGCCTGCATAGCAAAAAAAACACCAACAACTCAGGTCAGAGGGCCGATCAGAAACAGGCAATAACAACAGGCCAAATGACGAGTAAAATACAAACACTCTAAACTCACTCGGACCCGGCGCCATCAGCCCCGGCTGCCCCGGGCCAAACCTGACGTCGGCAGCGGCCGCTCGCTCCTCCGGGGTGAGGAGTCCAGCCATGACATCACCTACAAAGCAACAAGTACACAGTATTAGCACTTGGTACAATACATAAACAAATAAACCGGGCGAAGAGAGTAAACATAAAAATGTGCACCAGACAAACTTACTCATATAAAGCCCAGGCTGGGTCGCTTGCCGAGCCCCCTGGGCAGAAGTCTCCGCCATATCATGCGGCGAAGGCCTGAAGGGCCGGATCTCCTCAGCCAGCGGCCTGACGGGCGGAGGACTCGAAGAAGACCGAACCACCATGGCCTGCTTAGCAAACACGGCCTCCAGCTGCCTGACGTCGGCCACCGGCACGGGTGAAGGCTCAACAACGGTAGGAGACGAAGGAGCGTGCCGCAAGACGGCCTCTGCGCCATCTTCAGAACTTGAATACAACCCGCCAAGAATGTCGGGCATAGGATCGGCGGCGCTAGCCTCCGGCTGTTCGCCGACACTCACAGCACCATGCGAGGTGCGCGCCGGAGCAGCGCTGGCCCCCGGATGCCCAGCACCGCTCACAGGGCCGCTCATAGGGCACACCGGAGCTACAAGAGAGCTGTGATCCTCCTCGCTCGCAACCCGCACATCCACTGACGGGACGGAGGAGTTCTGAACGTCTTCACTGCCGGCGGAGGCAACGCCCGCACTACCGGCAGAAGACACGGCCGGCGTGATCACCAGAGCACCGCTCTTCTTCTTCTTTTTCGCAGGCGCCCGAGCAACAACGACGCCCTTCCTCTTCTTGGATTCGGCCTCCGCAGTAACATTCTTCGTGAAGGCCTTCTTCTTCTTCTTCTTCTCAATCGAAGCCAGGACCTCGGCGGGGACCTCGCGCTCCCGGTAGACGATCCCAACCTCCTTAAAAACTCGATTGAGCCACGGCATGGTGCCTGCCATGGCTCTCCGAGACGTGTATTCACGCTCGGAAATCTTGCCAACCAGCCCGATGGCGGCTTCCTCAACCTCAGAGACAAAACTGTCCTCTGTCACCCCCTCCCCCAAAGACTGCCCGAAGCGGGGGAACGGAATCCCGGCCTCCGGCCCAAAAACGGGAACCTTCACCTATTCCAGCCGAAAGGCTGGGTTGTCTTTGCCCAGGGGACAGTAGTTGGAGTCCATAATCTCCTCCACCAGGTGGCGGCCCCCGGAGTAGCGGCACGCTGCCGCAAAAGCCTGGTCGCAAGCCACCCTCGCCGGAGACATCTCTTCCGGCGGTTCCACGCGCGTGTGCGGCGCCATCTCCTCCATTCACCATCCTCGGTAGTGCCGCGGACCCCGTAGGTCTTCACATAGAACCACTGCTCAAGCCAGCCGTGATCCCACTTGCCCTTCTGGCAAAAAGAAATCTCCAGGCGGTCTACGCCTTGGTTCCTCTTTGACATAAAGGTGCAACTACCATACTGGTAGGTCACCTCCACCTCCTTGCCATCCCGCACCTCCTCCTTCTTCTTCGGCTGCTTCTGCAGCTCGTAGTACGCGCAGAAGGTGTCCACATCCGGCTCGGCACCATAAGAAACACACGCCTAGCAGAATTTGCTGAGCGTGAGGAAGGTAGTAGGAGTCAGATGATGGAGCTGGACATTGAAGGTCTCCAACACCCGGCGGAGGAAGGGGATATAAGGAAGGCGGAGGCCACAGGTGAAGAAGTCCCGAAAGACCACCGCATATCCCTCCTCCGGTTCCGGAACAGTCTGGCCAGGCGGAGGGATTTTTACCCTCGAAGAAGGAAAACACGATTCCTTCAACATCTCTGCGATTGACTCTTCAGTAATGGAGGAGGGGCCGAAATCCCATGACTTTATCGCCATGTCTCTGGAATCCGCAGCGATCAGGTCTCCGACGGACGTAGAGACACTCCTCAAATCCTCCTCCACTAGCTTTTCAAACTCCAATGCGGAGGCAGAGGCAAGCATGCACTCCTCAAAATGCGCACCCCAGCCGGCGGCCCTAACGCCGAGAAGGTGGCGATAGGGTCCGAAGAAGGCGGGCTGGTGAGTAGGGGCGGAGGCGGAAAAGAAAGCCACTGCGACAGTAGCCTAAGCACAAGACGCAGGCAGAAAGACGGAACGCGCGAGGGCAGCAAAAGGCGAAAGCGAAGAGAGCAGAGAGCGATTTCTCAGAGGCAAGGAAAGCGAATGAGCAATGCGGGGGGGGGGGGCGCCACAAACCACGCCCTTATATAGGCCGCGGGCAGGCGGTCCGGCTCCCGCCATACAACGGTCATCTCCGGAGAACTCGCCTGCCGCACAACGGTCATCCCCGAAAAAAGTCGCAAGGTATACAACGGAAACTGATAAGGCATAAACGGCCACACCGTAGGACAACAGCTAGATTTGCTGCCCAACGGCTACTCTCAACGAGACCAGCGGCCACGCCAGAGCGGGCCAGGGGGGAAGTAGCGGGGCCTCGCTCGGAGACGCCAATGCGTGTGGCCTCCGCCCCCGTGGACGCCTTTGGTCAAGGCGTTTTGAGCTCACGGCACGCTCAGGCGAACCGTGGTCTCAAAAGGGGGGAACTGTTGTAACACGGCCTCGGCGGATGGCGAAGGCCTCCGACGGCGAGGTGTCACCAAGGGGTCTTCGACCGTCTTAGGGCGGAGATCTGGCGCTGACTAAAGGAACTTTCTTGGCTATGCTCGTAGGGCGCTGCACGAGGCTCAGTGAGCTTGTCGCGGATTCCGCCTGGGCTAGGCACAGACATCTCCGGCCGTTCAGGCGGACGCCGCCCCGCTTTGGCTGACGGGCGTCTCCGGCGATGAGGGCGGAGGCCGCCCTACCCCTGAACTAATCAAACAAACAATCTTGCCTAAGTGTGTGCAGGTACCTAAGCGCAGGCGCCCGTGGTCCGCGCGAGCGCGCCAGCATGGCCCCCGCGCGGCCGGGCGGAGACTTACAGATGATGTCTCCGACCGTACCGGCGGAGACCCGCGTAGGCAGCGGCGTGCCCCTGAAGACGGAGGTCAGCGTCGGGAACACAGGCCTCTAGGCCGAAGACCGAGGCACGGTGGGCCGGCCGCTTATGGAGGCCCATTACTTGAAGACGGTGTGGCAGGATTGCCCCGCAAACAAGAGACTAGTGGCGGAATATTCCAGGAATGTACTGTAACAGTTGAGGGACATTATAATAAATTCTGTCTAAGAAGTAGTTGAGCCCTATAAATAGGGACCACTTGTAACAGTGCAGAGGGATGGTGGATGAATTAATGAAACCTTAGCTTTCCGTGCCAGTTTCCTACACGCCCACCTGTCGTGCCTATCCCAAGCCCCCGCCTGAGGGCGACGCTCGGCGGGCGGAGGCCTCTGTCTCCTCCACGCTGTCTGAGACCGCTAGTCTCAACAAAGACAAAAGTAGGAATGAGTTTCCAGATAATAAAATCAGTAAGGTTTATGGGGAGTTTTATGGTAGAATGTACTTTTCTTACCATTGTTGAAGACCATGTAACTGCTTCTAGGCCCTTCCTTTCAAATATAAGTCTAAGGTTCATCAAGTTAAAAGGTAACAAGAATCTGGGTCATATTTATAGTTACAACTTTTGTTCGAGGAAATTATGCTGATAGTTTAACTTCGCAAAAGAGAGAAAAAATATTTAAAGATGTCATTTGACAGATCATGCCAATTTGTTTTAACTATTCCTTTACCATTAATATAGGTTATGCAGTCACCATTTTTTTTGCTCCAGAAAAACTGTGGTGATAGTTTAACCTTGCAAAAGAGAGCAATGTATAGATGTGATTGCCAATAGATCATGCCAGTTTTCTATACAGGTATATAGCTAAATAATGAATTTTTGAGGATACATCTGCACTATGCTGATCAGCAACCCAAAGAGTCCAAGCATTGCAACAACTTCAACTCTATCCTTTTTCTTGACACAGTATTCCTACACATATGAGGAGAATGAAATGCTTACTGCCACTGTGAGAAACTGTTGCTGATAGCAGCAGATGCATGTAATGCGTATATAACTAACCTCCCCAACATTGCTAAACGCAAAACCAACTGTCCCAGCAATAACAAGGACATCCCCCAGAAGTGGCATTTTTCCTGGATCTGCAGGAAAATAAGATTTTACATATGATGTTAACAATTATGCAACCACAGAAACTAGAAAGTATATTTCAATCATAATGTTCTTAAAGCCATGTTTACATTTACACCTATTGCATTGCCATCTTATGCACCACTAGTATTGGTATTCTTGATTGTTCTTCTATCATTTCTTTTAAGGGAGACGGTATGGACAGGTCCTACTACTGCCATGAGTTCCTAGTTCTCAAAATCACTTGTTCTTGAGTCTTTGTTGTTGACTTTCTAATTGAACTGTAGGATGCTTGGAGTAACTTACCTTGCTCCTCTGGAGATTCTGCATCTGAAAGCAGCACAAGGGCAAGCCCTGCCACACATGTCCGTGCCCTCACGAACTGCCAGAGTATCTTGTGCCCAGTGCGTACCAGGTGAGCATGATGACCCATACAACAGTCCAACAATCCAACAAAGTTACACTGGTAATGTATGAGTACTGGTATGCCTTCACAACTGGGACATTAGACGTTGATCAGCAGTAGCAAGAGAGACCTAACAAAATCTCATTGAGTTGTAACTGTGTAGTGCGTGTCTATACAACTCACCAAGATACCAGTACCATGCTATCTGCAAGACAACTCAAGACAGTGAGCTATGAATTGCAACAGTTTCCTGGGTTAACTGATGCAGCTACTCTTACTTGCAGCTTCTGCCGTCGACGCAGGACGATTGGTACATAGACTGTGGTCAGCAACAGGTAAGCGAAGAAAGACTGTGTCAGTGGTGCATCAACTCCTGCACAAATATATTAATTCAAGGTAAGTAGTAACTCAAATTACCACTATCCAGATAACAATCATCAAGTAAATTATCATAAACACTAACAAATCTGTGTATACTGGTCACTGGTCAGTCCAATGAGAAATTGACTACCAAGATTAGCAATGACGGAGGAGGTGAAGCTTGAGGCGGCCATGGCGAAGGCGACGAGCTGCCCGAGGAGCAGCACGAGCAGCAGGCTCCATACATCCCTCTTAATCTCCATCAGCGCGAGCACAGCTCGCCGCAGCCCGGATCAGATCAGTTGCAGTTTTGCAGAGGAGAGAAGTTATTATACGCTGGCGAACAAAGAGGAAGAAGATGGAGCAGATGAATGGAAGGTGGAGTCTCGAGTGCAGGACCTGCAGGTGGACCGCGTGCAATAAACTAACTACCCTCGGAGGAGCACCATGTGCCGTCTCCGTCGACGAAAAATTTCTGCAACTGCAAGCGACGTGGGACCTGTGTGGCCACCTGGGGATCTTGTCATCAGCTGAGTAATAAGTCGCTCGTCCTACCGTCGTTCAATACAGATCTCGTGCTTCACGTCCTGGGGAAGTTTATTCGGTGGCCATGTAGCGGGGCTTCATAATCATACAGCTGATGGTTGCTACAGTTTTTGAAATGGAAATGCTGAATGAATTTCAGGGCTGGCTGAGAAAGGAGAGGATCTGATGCAGATACAGACATACAGTTACTGGGAACAAGCAATCAGGTCCAACCAGACTTGAAGAACACGTATGTCAAATCTGCGGGTAACCAAATTCGGAGCCACACTTCATATGAGCGCTCAATGTCTTTTCCTTGCCTTACTGTGGTCCAACGTGAGAGTTTTATGCTTTGGTTCTCAAATATTATTTGGACACTTGTGTTCGGAGAGTTTACTTTACCAACTAAATAAATGCTTCTAAATTGTAGTATTCAAAGCATGGAAATAGTTGATAGTTCCAATCATGAAATTTACAACACTAGATTCTCTATTGTTTTACGGTCGAGAGGATTTCTTCAGTGTCTCATATAGTGGCGCACTCATCTTTTCTAATATACACAGGTTACGCACTTCTACCACCAATGTTACAAGTACGGCAGTACCCGGCCTGTTTGGAATAAAATAACGTAAAATAGAGGAATACGAAAAAAACATAGAAATACGATATACTAAATAGTGAAAAACTATAAGAACCTGAAATATAGGAATTGATATTTTGAGATGATTGAAATGGAGGGGGAAAAACATGAACATGAGCAAGCAGAGAAAGAGCAAGGGTGTTACTGGCGCCCAGATGTCCGCAGATGTTACTGGCGAGCAGACATCAGCTTGTTCCGGGGCCACTACGCGAGCATCGCCGCCGTTGGCCCACTCGGGGCCACCACCTCCGCAGGCTTTTGTGTGCTCGTCGAGTAGGGTTTCCCGCCGAGCTTGAACTACCGCGGCGAGATCGAGGGAAGGAAAGCGAGGGGAGAGAGAAGAGAGGGCGAGGCGTGCCGCAAGAGGAAGGCATGAGGTAGGAGCCGAAGCCCTGCGGCAGGCCTCTGTCCGCCAGTTACCGTCGCTATTGCAACATGTGCAACACCTGATCTATTTTTGAAACATTCATATGAAATATTTGCAACATACGTTTGAAGACAGATGAAACATTTGAAAAATGCATCTGAAGCACTTGCAAAAAAAACACATGAAACACTTGAAAACCTTTGCAACACGTACGAAACATCCAAATAAAACATTTCCAACATATGCTTGAAACATATGCAACTTCCAACGTACGTCTGAAAAAACAGATGAAATATTGGGGACAGATGTTTGCAACATAAGTATACAACAATTGCAACATATCGATCTACTTTTGCAACATCCATAACCCTTGCAACATACCTCTAAAACAATTGAAACACTTGAAACATACGCTTGCAACACATGCTTTCAGCGCAGTGTCACCTTGCTGCTTGGACGAATGGAGTTCGTCCTTGTGGAGCTCGACGCCGGCGCGGAGCTCAATGCCACGGAGTGCTCGAAGGTCACCGGTGCAGAGATCGTCAGTGGCACGGACCTCGACAGTGGCCGTGGCAGTGACGAAGGCGCGAGTCCGAACGGTGGGCGAGCGGTGTGGGTGGGGGCGGCGCCGGCGAGCGGCGCAGGCAGATTACGTCCCGTGAGCGGGGGCGGCGCAGGTGAGCGGAATCTGTCCCGCGATGGCAGGCGGCGCGGGCGGGGGTGGCGCCTGCGAGCAGCGCAGGCGGAGTCTGTCCGAGCGGGGGTGGCGCGGGCGAGTGGAGTCGTCCCGCGAGCGGGGGCATGGAGTGCAGAGTGAGCATGCAACACGGGCTGGGTCCATGAATGATTGGACGAGGATGGGTCCGTGAATGAGTGGGTGAGGCTCATCCGGACGGGAGTCACGGTACGGGACGGACGGGAGTGGAGGTTTTATTTCTTATGGTTTGTACTACTCTGATTTTCTTTCCTTGAGAAAGCAACTCTACACTCCTTCGTTCCAAATAGTATGATGTAATTATTTTCCCTTAAAAGTTTATTCTTTTAAATTCCCTTTGATAATCCTTTGATTCAAACAGGGTCTAAGCTTGTGTATCCATCAGTGTCTCAACTAATTTGAGCTTCAGGATTCAGGAGCCAGTGCCTGTGGTGGGGAAACTTGGATGTCATGGATCGAAATGGTGGGGACTGAAAAAGGCCACGATAGCTTCACAGCAGAATGGAATATATATTGTTGCAAAATATGTGGTGGAAACCACCTGCTGGCTGGAAACATGAAAACCAACTCAAAAAACATACTTTGGTCGTTCAAAAAAATTTCAAACGTGGCCCATCCATAGAGTGCATGCAAATATGTACTCACACAAAAGAAGTTTATATGTCCCCTAAAAAAAAACAAAAGAAGTTTATATGCAAACTTGCATTTGAAAAATTCATACGAAAATGATAAATACAAGGTTCATGTGCACTAAAAGAGAATGAATGAACTAGGACTCGGAGGAAGACGGGCAAGACAGGGGAAATTTCAATGTCAACAGTAGGTAAAAAGACTTCGAGGCCGTTTAGGAGAGCTCCAGCTTCAGCTTCTTTGGAGAGAAACACTCTCAACCAGCTAAACTTCAAAATGTCAACTAATTCAAGCGAGGATCATGAGAGAATCACTTCTCAATTTATACTATAAGCTGGGAGCTAAAACAACCTGTTTTACCATGCTCCCTGTTATATTCTCATGAGAAACAGTAGAGAATCAATTACCATCAGCTCTCCACCCTACTTTCTCCTGTAAATCCAATAAAAACACTCCATCAATGAATTAAAGAGCAGAGTAAAAAAAAATCTAGAAGCGGAACTCTCCTAGACCGCGCCTTCGGATATGGCGCCGCGAAAGCAGCTGCAGTAGCCACACGGCCCAGGACCAGGAGTAACCGCACAAGGAGCTACGGAATAAGTCGGCAAAGTGCCAGTGACGTTTCTGTCAATCGACCCGTTTGTCGGTTAGTTGCTAGGCTGATAAGTTCGGCTGGTGCTGGTTTGTTGTGAGAGAAAAATACTATTAGCTGACTGATAAACCCAGGCTAAAATCAACAAATGAACAGGCTGAATGCAGACCGGAACGGCAACGTGAGTAGGCCAGAGCGGCTGTGCTGTTCGGTCGCCGCGTGCCCGCGTGTGCCATCACAGGCCAGGGGATGGTCACGACGACCACGAGGTAGCAGGCTGGAAGCACGGAACGAGTCGGCAGAGTCGTCCCCTGGCTCTGCCCCGCAACGGAACATGCCGTGTGCGGTGGTGTGCCTGGCAGAGTGTGCTTGAGACGGAGAAGAAGTTGGTCGTGTTGGGATCCTGAGGCTAAAGTTTAGCTGTTACGATGAATGTTCGGACGTTAACTAGGAGAATTAAATATGAGTTAATTATTATAAAACTAATTACACAAGAGTAAACTAATTAACGAGACAGATCTATTAAGCATAATTAATCTATCATTAGCAAATGTTTACTGTAGCACCACATTGTCAAATCATGAACTAATTAGACTTAATAGATTCGTCTCACAAATTAGCCTCAATCTGTGTAATTAGTTTTGTAATTAGCCTATGTTTAATACTTCTAATTGATATCTAAAGATTCGATGTGACAGGGCTAAACTTTTGTCAAAGGAAACAAACACAGCCTAAGGCTAGTCTCAGTGAAAGCTTTATTCAAATTAAGCTACCACATAAGCCCTTTTAGTAACGTGGCTACTTTTTTAAGAAGAGAGCAAAGAATAAAATTCATAGGGATAAATTTTTTTTAGCACAATTACCAACTTTCTATGATTTATGAATTTAAATGTTTATAAAATCATACAATAAAACTCTTGGTTGAGAGTGGACGTTTCATTTATGTTTCATTTCATCTATACGATATGACAATTTTGAAAATAAGGTCATGAAACTTCTTTTGGAGACTGGCCTAACTATAAGCAGTGGAAACACGGCCTCGTCTTGCAAGGAAAGGTAGGACTTGGTCTAAAGGAAGTTGCCTGTATTTCTGTTTGAGAACTTTCTGTTTAACTGGCTACCCCAGTACTTGTTACTGTTACGTTGCTTTGGAACATCTTTTTTTAAAAAGATGTTGCCTGTACGATCGTCTTAATTGCTTCTGTGTGTTTTAGTCACCGCGTCTATCATCAGGGACCTATCATTAGTAGAGAACAGATCTTTCATCCGATGTTAAAATAGGCTCTAGTCCCGGCATTTTTTGCGTCCAGAACTAGAGAGACTTTTAGTCCCGGTTGGTGTCTTCAACCGGGATTAAAGGTCCCTGTCCAACGGCTACTGCGCTCGGCACAATGACAGAGGACCTTTAGTCCCGGTTGGAGACACCAACCGAGACTAAAGGTGGACCTTTACTCTCGGTTGGAGCCATCAACCGGGACTAAAAGTTCTCAACCTTTAGTCCCGGTTGGTGTTAAGTTGGTAACACCAACTGGGACTAAAGGTCCCCCGATGGGTTAGTTCAAAAGGGAAACATCCCATCCATTGTTAGATGTGTTGTGTAGGTGAGGTGGTAAGCTACGCGTGAGGCAATGCATGGGGTATTGGGTTCGAATCTCATGGGACACAGCGGTGGGAGACATTATTTTTTTTTAAATTTGGAAGGACCTTTAGTCCCGATTGATGTTAGCTCTGTTCTCCTACCAGTGTACACATCTCAACTATGTCGTCGTCATGGCGCTGGTGTAATAAACTAGGAGTATAATACTACTATATATGCAATTTGTCCTCAGTCGCCATTGTCTCTTTTCACGTACACGCACAAATGAAGAACGCCGGGGGAGTGGGAGTCGTAGCATTCGCGGCTGCAGTAGTTGCCACTGCCACGCTGCTGCCGCCGTTCGGCGCCGCGGCGACACCGGGCAGCAGCAGCAGCTGCACCAGGACCTGCGGGAACATCAGCATCCCGTACCCGTTCGGCGTGGAGCCCGGCTGCTACCACGCCGCCGGCTTCAACCTCTCCTGCAGGTACGGGGAGAGGGAGGGCTCACCGGACCTACTATTCCTCGGCGACGGCACCGTGCAATTGCTCGAGATCTCGGTGCCACGCAGCACGGTGAGGATCAACAGCACCGGCCTGGTGCTCCGGTAAGACGACGCCGGACGCACGACGAACGGAACATGGGGGAGCGGCCTCCCAAGGAGCGGGCCCTACTTCCTGTCGGAGTCGATCAACAAGCTGCTGGTGTTAGGATGCAACACGCAGGTCACCATTCTCGGGGCGGAAGAGAACAACCTGGTCAGTTCCTGCACTGCTTTCTGCCCGTCCGTGGTATCCAAAACCGGCCTGCCTGTGGTTTTGCCGGCAACAAATGGTGATTGCATTGGCGGCATAAACTGCTGTGAGGCTAGCATCGTTCTAAGCTACTCTTTATACAACATAGAGATCAACCGGCTTCAAGGAGGATTACCCTTGACTCAGTCTATATACATAGTCGACCATAGTTTCAATTACACACTCGACATGGTTTTCAGTCCAGATCGCAGTCCTAAGGGGCTCCCGGCCACCCTAGACTGGATAATTGTTAACAACTCGCCGTGTCCAACAAATGTGTCCGCCCCCGAATGTCGCAGCAACCACAGCAGCTGCCAAAGCTCCCATGGTGGGTATCGGTGTCAATGCTCAGATGGTTATCAAGGCAATCCTTATGTTTCAGGTGGATGCCAAGGTATTCCTTCTCTTCAAGAATAGAATATGCATGTGCAGAGTTGCAGACCTTCCTAGTGCTCTTAAATTAACTGATAATGTCCGTGTGCTGCTTGTTTAGATATCGATGAATGCGAATCTCCAGACATTTACGTTTGCTATGGTGATTGCAAGAACACACAAGGAAGTTTTGTGTGCCAATGCCCTAATGGCTATACGGGCAACGCTTCAATGCCAAATGGATGCAGAGGTATGCAACACGATCAAAATGATTTCTACAGCTTATTTTGTTTGAAGAAACAGATTTCTACAGCTTATTTATACAATTAAGTAGCATTTCAAGTAAAACTATGATCTATCTACACTGGGGATGTAAATATTTGTGACGCTTAAAATCTACCAAACTTCACTTATACTTTTTTTTACTCTTTTCTGAATAAACGCAAGTATTATTGTAGTAACGCTAGCTGCACGGTGAATATTTCCTTTGTACCAAAACCTATATATGCTGTTCGTTTTCTCTGGCTTAATTGATTGTCTATACCTACTTTTGTAGACATAGACGAGTGTGAGAACCCGGAAGCACACTCCTGCTGTGGAATCTGCAAAAATTTACCAGGAAGTTTCGGTTGTCTATGTCATGATGGAACCTATGGGAATCCTTTCACAAAAGGTGGATGCATCACAATCAAGAAATCCTTTACAGGTAACAGGCCACTATGTGCACTTGTCACCTTATTTTAAATTATTTTTGTATCGATAGAACTGAGGTTTCAAATGTTTAGTCGTGTAATCATCCACAAACTAAATCTTCCTCTCAAATTAGGTTACATGTTTTCCCCATAGTTATGGATATTTTCAAGTTGTGAATGTGTACCATCCTTACCTTTACAGGTTTAAGCATTGGGCTAGGAGTAGGTGGTGGTACAAGTCTTCTGCTTCTAGCACTTGGTGGTCCCATCATAATGCGTAGAATAAAACAACGGAAGGTGAAGAAGATGAGACACAAATTTTTCAAAGAAAATCATGGCTTACTATTGCAGCAGTTAATATCACGAAACACAGACATTGGTCAACGGATGATAATTACCTTAAGGGATCTAGAAAAGGCTACAGATAATTTTGATAGAGCTCGTATAGTTGGTGGTGGAGGACATGGAGACGTGTTTAAAGGTATTCTAGATCTGCAAGTTGTGGCAATCAAGAAATCAAAGATAGTAGTTCAAAGAGAAATCAATGATTTCATAAATGAAGTTGCAGTTCTTTCTCAAGTGAATCATAGAAATGTGGTGAAGCTCTTGGGATGTTGCCTTGAGTCAAAAGTCCCTTTGCTAGTTTATGAGTTCATTTCAAATGGAACCCTTTATAACCATCTTCACGTTGAAGGACCAAGATCGCTATCATGGGAAGACCGGATGAGGATTGCAACAGAAGTCGCCAAAGCACTATCATATCTACATTCATCTGCTTCAATGCCAATATTTCACAGAGATGTCAAATCCTCCAACATACTTCTTGATGGTGCTTTAACTGCAAAGGTATCGGACTTTGGAGCTTCTAGATATATCCCGATTGATCAGACAGGAGTGGTTATAGCAGTTCAAGGAACATTTGGCTACTTAGATCTGATGTACTACTACATAGGCCGGCTAACAGACAAAAGTGATGTTTTCAGTTTTGGTGTTGTTCTTGTAGAACTACTTACTCGAAAGAAACCAAATAACTATCACTCTATTGATGGTGGTAGTCTTGTTTCACATTTTGTCTCACTTCTAGTAGAAGGAAAAGTAGATGACATAATAGATCCTCAAGTCTTGGAGGAGGAGAAGGATAGAGAAGTCCAAGAAGTGGCCACACTAGCATCAATATGTACAAAATTGAAGGGAGAAGACAGGCCTACAATGAGGGAAGTGGAGATGACACTCCAAAATTTTCTTGTTAAAAGGAGCCAGGTTGCAAATACCCAAAGTAGTCATGATGCGGATAATACTATGGCTCACTACATGTCAACTGAACGAGCTAATAACCAAGCAAGTAGGCAATACACCATGAAAGAGAACATGTTGTTGTCAGCGAGCTTTCCACGATGACCTTATTTTGTTGTTATTAGCAATAATGCTTCGCGTACTTATTTCTATTGATCTTTTAGTGTTTACTAGTATAATGCCCGTGCTAACGCAACGACAGCATATAACCATGCAAATTAAATAACCAAAAGGCATATACGTGAAGTCATTAAGCATCACTGAGATATATTTATGATTCATGAGTTATATTTATGATTCACGTAAAAAAAATATTAAAAAGGAAGTCCATCTTACCCTATCAAAATATGAATAATAACATTTTTCAACATTAGTGGTCACATCTATAACCAAGCATGTCTTCAAGCTCCCCTACATTCAGAAGTCGTCCGTCCTCAGAGCTGCCTCATCTGTTTAGCCACAACACACTTTAAGAAAAGGTGGTGAATAGTTTATTCTACGAAAGGAGATAGGCAAATTGTTGAATCGCTGCTAACTTAAATGACCAAACTTCCATTCACCAAACCTTAAGTATTTCAGATAACATTGCACATAGTCTAAAGCCACATGCTGTTACCTGCGCACCAAAGCAGCAGGAAAATACAGAGGAACGGTATTGAAATATCGAGTTATGGGGAAAAGGACTCAACATTATTATTTTTTAACCCACTAACATTCAACCCATCTATTAAGCAGGTTCTTTTTGTTAGTGAAAGGAGGTCAGAGGCCCCGTGTTTCGCTGTGCGCATGTGGAAAAAACAAAAAAGAAAGAAGAGCAAGAGTAGGATTGTAGGAGTAGTAGATCGCTGTCGCTCTCGTCCCATCCAGCCCATCCAGAAGCTAAGCACGCAGCAGGTGCTCATCGTCCGTCCTGAACTTTGATCCGTCCCATTTCAGAATTAAGAGGCAGAGCTCGTGATTTCACTTCGCTGCACCTGGATGTTGACGACCTTGCCCCCTGCTGTCAGCTTGGGTATGGTGAGGTAGAGCACGCCGTCCCTCACCTCCGCGCCGATCTTATTCATGTCCACGTTCTCGGGCAGCTCCACCCGCGTCCTGTACTGGCCGAAGCTTGCCGCCGGCCACGTCTCCTCCTCGTCTCCCTCTTCGTATCCGCCGCCTGCTGCTGCTTCCTGCTTCTCGTCACCGCCAGCACAGTCCGAAGCTTTGTTTTGATAGAAATGCTCCCACCAACTATTACACCAATATTAACAGTGATGTAAAACCATCTCAGTTTTCAAGCATTGTTTCTGGGAGTCACTACAATCTGGTACACAAAGAGCATTCAAAAGGGGAGAAAAAACAGGAGTCAAAAACTGAAGAGAACAGGTTTCAGATTTGCTGACCAGCGAGTAAGGTAGTGTTGAACCCCATTTAGATGGCTTCAGCTTCAACTTTGGAGGCAGGATAAGACAACAGCTTGGTAGCATTCGTATAACTCAGCTCGCCAATTATGACTCTACTAGTTCAAGGAGTGATGCGACATACTTAAAAACCTGGAAAATTAGGGACCTCCACAGTTTAAAGTATTTTCTCATCCCATTATTGCTTAATATTAAGTAAACATGCCTCTTTTGTTAAGATGGAAAGCTCAATGCTCTTGCAGCAATTTAAACAAAAGGACATAAGTATTATTAATATACAATTTTGCACTTCAAATTGCAAACAGGAAGGAGAGCAAGCATATTTTGTTGTATATTTTTTCTTTCGGTTCTTGCTTTTGCCTCCAAGACTACTTTATTGTTGAAAAGGCACATGAACACATAAAACGAAAGAGTCAGAAAAAGCTTCTCCAAAGAAATTCTAGCCAAGTGCATCCACGAGAAAAAACTTACAATATGGATGTGCTACATTTAATATCGTTCATCTACTACGTCTCGGCTATGCTAACAAATGAAATATGAAATAGGTAGTGTCAACTTAGCTTTATATTGTCAACTCTTAGCTTTATATTGTCAACTCTGACGTAGAACTCCGGCAGCCAAGCCAAGCAATAGGATGTCAACTTAGCTTCAGTTAATCAAACCGTTGTATCATGCGTGCATAGGTAGTGTCTGAATTCAATTTGCACCACCGTAGCAACAATTCAATCAGCTTTGCAGGATATAGTGCTTAGTAGTATTAATTATGCTGGGGTACAATTTTGAAGCGGAATAATCCCATAAGCTGTTGTGAGGAAATCCAGCAGTAATCAGTTACAGTCTCCAAATGTTTCAGCTTTCCAATGCTGATGGAGAAATAATTGCAACATATATTATATAAGAACACTTCAGATTAGAGATAGTTGTGAACCTTTTCCCCCTTTGCCTTTTTCCTATTTTATGAAAGTCCTCGTAGCACCATGTGCAGTTGAACTTCATCAACCTATTGAGAAATATCGAACGTTCACCAGAGATTAGGCACCTCACGGTTATATCATTTTCTATTACTATAGGTAAAAACACTTAGATTCTTATCAAGGAAAAAACATAGCCATGCAGTTATTTCTAGCAAAATCAGAAACTATATTAACTGATCCTTGCCTGCTCACTGTGCACGATCGTCGTCCTCGAGCCACCCGTGCTTGGCAGATGGTGCACAGGCGTGCTACGCCGCTGCCGGCAAGCCCTGGCCGAAGATCCGTTGCAGCCTGCGCTCTGAGCTTGCTTAGCACCAAGATTTAGACCTAAGAGGATTTTCAATGGCAGACATTTGGCGCAGCCGTAGCTGCGGCACGATAGAAATGCGTAGTGGTTGGAATTAATTAGGTTTAGGCATATTAAAAATTATGGCAAAAGCGCTAAAGGTTGTTAGTTCTAGCTAAGTTATTATTCTCTCTAAGTCGGAAACGATGATAGTAGACAATGCCGTTTTGACATTCGAATTCTAACAAAAATTGTTAGGCACTAGATTCGTGTTTTTGTACTGTTAGTTGTCCCAAGGTGAGCACTCGAGAATGGTGTAGGTTATAGTCATGTTGAGTGTCACGTGGATCTCGGAAAAATTTGCCTAAGTTTATTAGAACGCGCTGCGAGCTCTGTTTCAACGCTCTGTCGCGAACCGGAACTTCGAGGACGAACTCATTTTGGCACGCATGTATCTTCCGCTCGGGTGGCCCTTTTGTTGTGCGGATTTCTCTGTTAGATAACTGATAAGATCAACTTTAGGGTCATGGAATTAGTTGAACCTCAATCACGATCGTTAGCAGTTTTTTGTTCGCTTTAAAACTTGTGCGTAGCTGCTGTAGACCGTAATGCCGTCCGCGCGCGTGTGCTGGGAGGTGCCCTTGTCCATTGCCGTTCGGTCACTGCAGCGCTCGTTCACAGCCACTCATCTCACCTACCCCCCTTCTGGCTCCTGTGTCTGGCTTAAGGACAGGGTGAGCCCACGCACGGCTCCTCGCTCGCTCTTGCGCTCCTCTGCCCAGCTTCCCTCTCTGCCTCCCTACGCGTTCTCCCTTGCTTTGCTGCTCGCAAGCACGCCATGGCCGCCAACAGCTAGGGCTCTTGCCGTCGTTGTGCTCCCAGTCATCCTTGCTGCTCTGCTTACGTCTACCGTGGACGTTGGGCGTGAGCCCGAGCTCAGCCACCACCGTTGCCGCCGTACCAGTCCACCGCCGCCGCCCTGCCGTTGCGCGCGTGGCGGGTGCTCCACCGGCTGCGCCCGACTGAGCTGTTGTTGCCCAAGCGTGCGGCAGGAGCCGCCGATGCCCCCACGCACCACCCCACCATCTCTGTCGGCCTAGAATCACCGATTGCGGCGTCGCCGTCATGCAGCCACACGCTGTGGCCACCGCGCGCGTGGGCGGTCCACTGCCGACAGCACCCGGCCAAGCCGCCATCACCACCGCCTCTGCCTATTCCTCCTCTCCATCTGGCGCACCTTGGCCGAGTCGGAGATCATCGGAGCCACCCCGGCGTCGGGCCGTCGTCGCCTCTGCTGTACGTGCACGCGGTCACGCCACCGCGGGCCGCTTCTAGGCGAGCCACGTCCAACCTGGGAGTGCGTGCGAGGCTGCCGCGACCCCCGCGATAGCACCGCCGCCGGTGAGCCACCCCATCGGCCGACGCACTGGCTCCCCTGCTCATTGCTCTGTTTCAAGGTAGAAGAAGGACTCAAACGCAAATAGAAACTCTTTACCGTGTTCACTTTGCAAAAATGCTAGACTCATAAATTTACAAGTCGGGGCTTGGTTAATTTCAGGGAAAGTTAGGGTTGCGGGGGGCTCATTGAAAAGTGTCGCCGCCTCCTTGCCTTGGCCGCGTGGGCCGCCGCTTGCTCCGTTTGGGCCGCTCACTCCTGCGCCGTGTTGGGCCATGCTCGCCGCGCTGTGGGCCACGGCCTATGGTCGCGCACGCGCCCCACCCCCGCCTAGGCCTCCAGCCGCTGGGCCGATGGCTGGCCGAGCGGGCAGTGCTGGGCTAGGCCGAGCCCATGAAGCTTTTCCTTTCTGGTTTTGTGTTTTGTTCCAAAGCAGTGATCTTGTAAAATTGATAATAAAATGTAGGAAAATGACAAAAATGCCAAACCAATTTTGTTAAGTTTCTAAAATCATGATCTATCTGATAGTGTATTAGGGTTGCTCTAATTATTTTAACATACTTAATATGGTTAAGACATAAACTTGTAGGAATTTCCGTGATAAATCGGTGATAGTGTTAGCTCTAAAATTTTTACAGTAGGTTAGAAGTGTTATTAGGTGTTCTCTGTAATTTTTGTAGCCCAATAATAATTAGTTTACTAGAGCAGTTAATGTGCCCTAGTTTTGAGTATATTAAATCATTAATAAATCAAAAAGAGACTTGATTTGGTAAGAATTAGTACTTGTTGATGAAAATGATGCTTTGTTTAGTGAAGTTAATACTTAGCTAATATATTAGTCATTAGAGTTAGTTTGTTAGCTCGAATTGTGCACTCGTATTTAAGAATTGTTGTTGCCTTTGTATTGATTGCGCCATCTCTGCATTTGCATCAATACATATCATACTAGGAACGACGGTGGATCGATGGTATCAAACGGAGTAGCTGAAAAGATGGTGCCAGGGATCATGTCACGAAGATGGAATGCTAACTTTTGGTTATATTTT